GTTGGTCAAGCACGACCTCCCCCTGGTGAACCCGTGCTGACTACTCCTGATAACCTCCTTTTCTTCCAGTACCTCCTTTTCTTCCAGTACCTCCTTTTCTTCCAGTAAGTAGGCATTTGTCTGGAAGTTGAAACATTTAGTTACTTCTGGGGAATTAATTTCCTTGCATACTTTTAGACAAGATTAGGATTCCTTCAGAAAACCATTCACTGGGGGTTTCAGTAGTTCTTATGCAGTATTGAGTCAGCACTCTGGCTAGATCCAACATTCACAACTTAAATCAGCTTGGGGAAGAAGTAAGGCTTTTACTATTTCAGTTCTTTCATCTAAAATATTACATCTACTATGGGCCCAAAGTTCATTTGTCCATATAGTATTGCTACTTACCCCTAACGTGGCAGTTATAGACATCGTTCATCTGGCTTGAGGTGGACATTAAGCACTGTAGTATTCAGACTTTCTAGCTACCTGGAAAAACATAGTACAGCTCATAAGAACAATGTGTACATAAGAAATTTTTTTTTTTTTTAATAGCTTCATCAGCTAAAATGGGTCTTATAGAGACCACAAGAGGGCTTCTTCCAGGAGCAGGTAAGTAACCTTCATTGTATCTTCAGCCTCTTACTTTCTCTATGGTTCCATAAATATTCTGCCATTAGAGCACTTGAGATATGCTCTTTATTTGGTTTTGAATATAATTTAAGTAACATCTAGTAGCCTGAGATCTCTGAATCTAGAGTTCTGCTCCAGGTCCTGTCTTGCTGTCAATCAGTGGTCCCTTCACTCTTTTTTTATTAATTTTTTATTAAAATACTCAAGAATGCTGAAGACTTTTAGATATTTGTCAAATATCTGTTGATACATTCAGCCTTTATTTTTCAGACTTCCCTCTTGCATAAAAGACAAAGTGCCATTGCTTTTTGGGACATTTCTCAGAAATGGAAAATGGTGTTTTTGCTCTTGTCCTAAGGTGGAACCCAGCGCCTGCCCAGATGTGTTGGAGTAGGTCTTGCAAAGGAGCTCATTTTCACGGGGAGACAAATAGATGGACAAGAAGCTTTCTCAATGGGATTAGTAAATCACACCGTGCCTCAAAATGAGGAGGGAGATGCAGCTTACCAGAGAGCATTAACTTTGGCTAAAGAAATCCTTCCTCGGGTCAGTGTTTTGTCAATGTAAAGAATGCATTTCTGCTTCCCTTAAGAACAAACAACTGAGATTTCTTTCTGTGAAATATCCAAGTCTTAACTCCTGATATTCAAGTCTCTTAATTCTATTGTTTTTTGTGAATGCAGTTTCTGTGGGAACAAATGTAACATCCAGTTATTTAACTCACAGGATAGTTTTACTTCCCAGACTTGCAGGATTCATGTGCACAATGTAAGCTGTCAATCTGTTGATTGTAGATAACACTAAATTGTATTTTAGAAGTAGCTAAACAACTAACTGCAGTCTGCTTTAGACTGAAAGGTCAACTGGAGGTAGGATGATGCTATAACTGCTTCTGTATTGTGAACTGATGTGGCTTTTTTTTTTTTTATAAAGGCTCCAATTGCTGTGAAAATGGGAAAACTGGCAATAAACAGAGGAATAGAGGTAATCTTTTTTTAAATACTGCAGTAAAGGAGGCAGATAAGCAGCTCTTATAAATTACTACAGTTAACTATAATCGTTGTTTAAACAAAGCCTTTAGAACTCCTCTTAGAGCTTTTGAAGACAAAATTAATACAGCAGGGTTTCATTCTCCAGATAATAGCATTGCAGTACCAGTGCAGCAGTGAAGTCTAATGCCAGTCACTATCAGTTAATTTTTACAGTGTCCCCCTTTCCTTTCCTCTTGTCTGCAGGTTGATATTGCATCAGGGATGGCGATTGAGGGGATGTGTTACGCACAGGTGAGTTCCCTTCAGTCTGCTTTTTAAAAGGAACCACAAATACTGCATGTTTTCTAAAGCCAGATACTCCCAACATCTTCTTGTATTTTCTTCTCCAAGAGGGAAGACTAGCAGCTAACTCCTAAGCTTTGACAACATAAACCAAGCACAGTTCCAGATCTTTATTTCAGACGTTAACTATTGTGTCTCGAATAGTCTTTCTTTAAATAAATATATTCTGCCTGAAGTGGAAACTAGGAACATACAATCACAATACATTAACTACAGCATGGGTTTTACTAACAGTTTTAGTCTTAAAATTCCTCCTGTAGTCATTCTTTGACAAATTTGGAAGATGTGCACCTTTCTTAGTTAACCATTTAACTGCTGTGCCTCTCAGTAGTGTTAGAAGGTATGGAAAACTTCTCCTAGGTAGTTCACTGATTGCTGGGCTTTGTCTTGGAAATTGATTTTCCAACCACCATCCAGCCTCTTTATTTTCCTCATTGCAAAATATATCGTTTTAAGAAAAGCAATCTCTGCAAAGGGTCAAGACTACTACTTAGCCCAATTAACTTAGCAGTAATCAAGTGTAATTCCTTTATTACCAAATATATATTTATTTCTTTAATGCAGAATATTCCTACAAGAGACCGTCAGGAGGGAATGGCTGCCTTCAGGGAAAAACGACCACCTCAGTTTATTGGCAAATAATGCTTCCTAGCTTTCCCCTTGTTGTATTAATGGCTTTGTTTGTTTGTTTTTTGAGGAGAAGGACCTGCTAATTTCTTAGGATTATTTTTATGACTGCACTCCCTATACGTAGCTCCTTCTCCTTGGCTTGGACTGCATTTCTGAATACTCACTGGATCATTTTTCTCTAAGGATTCACCAATAAAGATTTAACTTTGTACAGCCCATTGATCTTAAAGAATGTACATCTTCCCTTGTTCTGAATCTAAATCAAGCTAGCCCTAAGGCAGTAGAACCAGATAAACAAGAAGTTAATGAGTTAATTAACTTATTATTAATGTCAGGATGGACTGCCTCCAGGCTGAACTGATGGATCTAGCTTCTAACCTTGTTCTCATGCACACTGCTTAGTTCTCCTTCTGTGCTTCAGTAGATGACTGCAGAATAATGCATATGTAGGCTAAGGCGGGGAGCAGAGCCAGCACAGTCACAGCCTGACCATAGATATGATTTCATAGATTGCTTTCAGCCAGCCAGCTCTGAGGAATGCTGAATTACAAACAGGGGTCTGGTGTTTACTGTGACTGAAGGGGCATAAAACTGTATTTCTAAACTGAGGACTAACAGTACAGAGGTGTTCAAAGTCCAAACATTTGAGCCCAGCTTCCTTCTTAGAAAAGAGGGGCTGAAATTGTCTTCCTCAAGGACTCACACTATGCTTTCCTCTGGGATAGCAACACTAATCTTACAGGATTGGCCTTTAAGAAGAGCTCCTCAAAGCAACACAGTATTTTCATAAACATATGTTTATACTTGCAGCTGTTAGTTTGTCTTGTGGCTAATTTAAGTTTTCTATCAAAGTATATAAACCTACACTAGTACCTTAGCAGAGATTCTCTGGCTGACAGGAGTTCTTCAGGCATTCTCTTTGTTTCATAGATGTGGCAATTCCCCTTCAGTTAATATTACAGTATCTAGCTGCTGAAGTGAAAAAAGAAAAAGTTTACTTTAGGAAAGCTGAAGAGATAATAAAAGCCTAGGCAAGAATGTAGCAGGCAGAAGTGGCTGAGGATTTCCTGTCTTTCTCCTGTTCCATTATTTAGCAGCTCTGCAACAGAAAGAAAGTCAAGCAAGCAAAAATAAATAAATTAGACATTCTAATTCATCCATCACTTATGTACAGAGCCCAGTTATAAAGAAAGATAAAAGGCCCTGTTTCTGAGTTCGAAAAAACTGCTTTTAGAACAGCTCTCAGAAGACTGAACAAAATAAGACTATCTATAAAGCAGTCATAGACTCATAATGCAGATAAAAACCTCATTTTCAAATTACTCTGCAGGTCTTTTTTTGGTACTGAGGGATCCCGACTTCCCTGTACACAAAGCAGTGGCTGCCAGCTGTGCACTCTGCAAGTCGGTCTTTGCTTCTCAGCATAAAAATTCCCTATGTCAGCAGTCACTGCTCTCAAAGATGTCAAAGAACACGGAGCAGCTTTGACTCTCCATAAGCAAATTTAAAGGCAAAACAAAAAGTAGAAAAGGATTATTATATACTTGGTAGGCTTCAGCAAAGTAACAGTATGCTTTCATTTTTCCTTTTCTTGATGAAAATTTATCACAGTGGATCAAAGTATTACAGAAGTCATTCTGGCAAAAATCATTTGTGAAACTAGCCTATAAATATACTGCATCTAAACATGAGATAAAATCTATTCTCTTGACAACTTAGAAAGAAATAAAACTTCCCAAAGGTTGCTTTCCATTATCAGTGTTCTTCCAGCATTCAGACATGCCACTCATTGTAGCTGTTGCTTCCAACTTCCCCAGACTGCAGCCTTCAAGCAAAAGTGAATTAATAAATAAGCTTTTAGCAAACACGAGAGGTTATCAGAAAATACTAAGAAAATGCAACTTACCATGTTAGAAATTGTCTTTACAGTCTTGAATCAAACCAGAACTTATCAATACTGTAAATGAGGTAACTTTACTAGATTAAACAGTACAAGTTTCCTTTGTAAAGGTCTGCAAAGGTAAAGCAGAGGCATTATCTTCAGCCTTCACAAAAAGATAAATGCCACTGGCCTCCAGAATTACTCTACCCTGGCAGGAACTCCTGAAGCTGCACAGCAATATGAAGTCTTTTCTTTAAGTGGCACATGCAAGTAAATTTTCTGTTTAGTAAGTTTACAGCTTGCAGCCATTCATATTTTTCTAATTCTGCTCACTGTAACCTGAAGCAAATGAGAACAAAACAAGAAGGGTGTAGAAAACCATTTACAATTCTCTGGCTATAGAATTTCACGGAGCAACATCTTCATGGTCTGGACCAATGCCTGCATCAGATTCATTTTGTCAGCACATGAGATAGAGATTTAGTTAAGATGCTACACTAATTTCTCCTGCTATTAGCAAAGAACTGTACAGTACTGTAAGAGGAGCTGTCGTGTTTGGTTTAGATTCTTGCAGTACCAACCAATTCACATTCATTCAATTAACACCAATTTTGACAGGTTGTGCATGCCTTTTCAGGTAATAAAACTTTCACCACAGAAGCCTGATAGCAGACATCCCAGAAGGCTGGTCGATACAAATTCGCAGATTATTATTTTAAACCACCTTTGTAATTCAAAGCTACAATCAGTTTCTTTCTGAATCAAGAAAACAGTATATAATCAGATACACATAGCAAAAACATGCTAGCCAAATTATACCTTCATATAAATATCAATTACACAACATGACACTGAGAGTTACTAGATCACTTCATTTTGAAGTTGCTGAAGTACACAATAACTAGATAACTGAATAATAGAGGTGATGTTTTTATTCGAAGGATGAGAATTAGGAGGGAGAGGAAGGGAAGGAGTTCAAAATAGTAAAATATGATCATCCTGAAGTAGTCATCCCTGCTCGTAAACTATCAAACATAAGTTTTTTTTTTTAACTGAAGTACCAATATATTTACAAAACAGTCTAAGAATATCAGTCAGTTCCTGTGGAAACATGGAGACTAACCAACCAAACAGAAACAATTCTTGAAATAAAAGTGAGTTTGAATCAACATGCAGTTTGCTTTCATCACTTGTATTTTATCAGGCATCCATATGCTGTGCAATATGTTTCATTCAACACATCATTTGAAACCCACAGGTAGCCAAGGAAGAAATAAGTTGTTACAATAAGCATCTTTATGTAAATTTCACACCTCACAAAACAATGCAATCGACATGGGTTTTACACAGAACACTGGATGATATTTTGCACTGTGGTGACTTGGAAATATAATTCACTGCACAATACTAACAGAGTATTTACAGAAAACAATCATTAGTCTCTTATAAATAAGGTGACCAAACATCCCAGGCCTCCTGTTAAGACATGCAATCCCTTTCAGGATGAGAACATTTCACTCTAACGAGCCTTCTCTTTCCCTATCAGTTTTTCCAAACAGAGAAGAAAGATCCCACACACAACCAAAAGTAGTCAAACAGCAAAATCCCCTTCGTGCTATCCAGTTTAAAATCTCAAGCTTAGCTCATTCTTTTAGTGTCTCCTATTGAACTTGTTTCTATTGCTTTATTTTAGCAAGTTTCCATTTTCCCTGACACAGTGCTGATCCCAACCTTACTGAGAGTACAGAGGACTCAGGAGAGCTGAATTTCAAAAAGGCATAGGCTGAGCAGCAAGGAAAACAAAAGAACACAGCTGGCAGGCAAAAGAAAAAGGAGGCTGAAGTCCTCATGTTCAGAAGGGTTATGAGAAGATGGACATTTTGGTCGCCTTAGATACAAGTCTTGTTTGTAACTTGCATGCAGGAACTTTTGTTTAAATCTGTCAAAGTGTTGAAGACCACAACCACGCACAGTTCTAACTCAAACACCAGTCTGGTAAACAGTTTTTATAAACAGCAATCATAGGGATGAAATAATTTTCTGTCCCAGAAGTCAAAAACCAAGGTGTTCTTAGAATTGTTGGGTTTTTTCCTTCTCAGATGTGCATATTCATCTGTGCAAGTCCAGTTTCTTTGTAGACAGCAGTAATCCTACAGGTATGACCAGCTCAAGCAGCGACCCTTTACAAGTTGCATACGCGGTTGCCATTAAAGTTGACATTCACCAAAGGTTACCATACATGGTTCTGGGTACCACAATTATAGGCAAATCACTTTAATGGTGACCACTATATTACATATTACTCCAACTACACACACATCAGAAGGGAATATTACAGAGACAATACTTTACACTCTTATACCTGCAGCTCTCAGTTTGGTTTATTTTGTTGCTGTTTTCTACATGGAGGTGGCCTCCCATGACGCATAATGTGCTTTTCCAAACTATCCAGGATGGCAATAGCAATCCTCTGGACATGTGGATCAGTCTGGACATTTTCCTTAATGTTGTACAAGTGCTGTAAGCCACCCTCTTCAATTAACATGCTACAGTACCTGGCAGCTGTCATAAAAAAAGAAATAAGTTATCTAGGGTAGAAATAACAGTTACTGTAAACAATGCTTGAAATTCACTTTCATCTCCCAATCCAGGCAGCATTTAGGACACTTCCACAAGTTCCTACTGAAGTGCATTTGTACTTTGATGGGCGACAACAGGACAACAGAGTTATTTTGACAGGATGCAGACTGTATCTGTTTTCATGTCTGTCTTAGCTAACTGTCTGGAAAGTTCCTTGTAATATACACAGTATTCTCTCTCCCTCACAGCATTTTAAGTGCACATATGTAAGTTTTAAGAAAAGAGAAGCGGAAGTATAGTCTCTCTGAGTACCCAAATAAAGCTATCTTCTTTAAGAAAGACTTTGATTTAGAATAGTTAACAAAAAATGGTACCACATGTACCATGTCAATCATACAGGCTTGGAAAGTGAAGAGGAAAGAGTTCTCTAGAAAACATTTTGCCAAATGCTGCTTAAGCTGACTGGTACATGGGACATAGCTTAACTATTTGCTAGGATAACTAGTTACTGGGAAGATCTTTTCAGAATAAATTTACACTTATCTTTCAATTTCATTATAGCTTTTAAGAAGTCTGCATCAATTCCAGTGTTACTACATGGAGAGATCAGCTATACGAAGAGCCACACTCATAACCTAACATACAAGCTTCAGAGGTTGCTCCAAAAAGGTCAGAATGACTGTAATGCAATCCACAGAGCATTATGTCAGATGCACCCAGTTGCACTGTTCATCTCAGTGAAGCACCACCTGAGTTGTTTAAATCCTGACATTAAACATTTCTGCAGGGATCACATTTACTGCAGTGCTACTGCTATTTTAGGTAAGTTAGCTCACTGAGGTGGCTACAGCATCACGAAACAGCAAAAGGAGAGGAAAAACAAAAGAAAAATCAATGCTATTAAATCCAGACCATTTTTTATCCTTTTGTAAGAAGGTGACAACAATATAATGCATCTTCTCTCCAAGAGATAAAGTCTTTTTAGTGCCAAGTATCAAAAGCTTGAGATTTTTTCTCCCATAAAACACTCCATATTTCAGAATTAAATACATTCTTCCCCTGAGCACATTATTACATTTGCTACCGAGCATTTTGTTTCTCTGCAACTTTCTGTAAAAGCTTCTGGCACCAGTGCCATCAGAATTAAACTTCAGGACATATACTCAGGATATAAATATAGATATCTAGTAGATACACAGATAAAAATTAAGACTCTACTATACTCAAATTAGGTGAATGTTATCCAGTTATTCACAGCCTCTGCATTCCACAGTGCAGTTACTCACTCTCAGGACAAACCTCTGCAGCATGCTGAAAGCTCAGAGGTTAGGCAGCACAAAATAAACACTAAAAAATAAATAGAACAAATAAGACTGTACTCTGAATTAACAAGGTTGAGGCACAAACAGGGGAAAAAAGCTTGTTTTAATTTCACTAACACCAAATTAGGTGGTCTTCATGAAAAACCTGTTACCCAGAGTCTGACCACTACAACTTTGTCAGAAAATATTTTATTAAAAAAAAATCATTAAAAAAGCCAGGAAGGTTTGTCAGCTCTTACATTTAGGTATGCTCAGGGGACTTACTTCCTACTTCAACATTTGTGCATTTCATTACATGCTCTCAAGGCATTTTACAAAGAAGATGCTGGTATTCTCATTTTGCAGATGGGAAAAATAGATTGAGAAAGTGCCTTTCATATAGCAGCACGTTATTGCAAAAGGTAAGTAAGAAAAAAGGCAACAAACTCCTTTCAAATTAAAGGAGAGCAAGGATTACAGCAGGTAGCTGTAACTATCTGTAAGGTCTGATAGTAAGACAGCTACCTGCTGTAATCCTTGCTCTCCTTTAATTTGAAAGGAGTTTGTTGCCTTTTACTAATATTAACATTTCTGAACAAAAACGCCTGTGCCAGCTGCAAATGTAGGTAATCTTAACACATGTATACGTTTTGAAATTAATATTGTGCAAACAGTAAAATTCTGGTAAATAAAGAAGATGTAGAGAGCTTTTTATTACTCCTTTCCTGCCTCATTTTGTGTAAGCCTCAATGCAGTTTCTCCAAAGTACCAGAAATGAAAACCATAGAAATTCTTATTATTCCCACTTCATGCTAGTGAATAGTATGCTAAGGAATAAAAGCTGTATGGGTAATTTTATCTTAATACATACGATTTTTGCTGCAGACATGCTGCATGGCCCACACTGCCCATAACTGGACACCTGGTGTCATGAAACAGCCAAGTAGTGGAAAAAATGGATTGAAAGACCTATTAGAAAAGAGACAAATGATCACATTACTTTGTTATTAGCTATCCCTTCAGAGATCATAACATTGCCTACTCACCAGCTGGTTTAACTGGGAAAGAGTTTGGAAAAACTTGGAGTTTTAAATGCAGTGACTGTCTTTTAACATTTAAGGCAATAACTAGCAAAAATATATATAGTGGATACACAGTTTATTTTTGCCACTGCATTTTGATGATTCTTACTTCTTAAAAATAGGAGTAAACAGTGGAAATAAAGATTAAGCGGACAGTAATTATCCAATTGTACTTTATATAGCTAGCAGTAGGACTAGAAGGAATGGCCTCACTTTGTGCCATGGGAGATTCAGGTTGGATGTTAGGAAATACTCCTCTGAGAGAATGGTCAGGTGCTGAAATAGGCTGCCCAGGGAGGTGGGAGAGTCACCATCTCTGGATGTGTTCAGGAATCATTTAGATGTGGTACAGAGGGACATGGTTTAGTGGGAAATATTGGTGATAGGTGAATAGTTGGACTAGATGAAATTAGAGGTCTTCTCCAACCTTGGTGATTTTATGGTTCTATGGCCTCAAGCCCCTTTATTTAGGGCAGATGGTGCTAACCTTCTCCTCACCAGTGTAACCTTACTGGTTAACCTTTGCGTTCAAGTGGAATGCAATGGACCTGAATAACTGAAAGGCAGTCAGAAAAACATCACGTTTACCTTTTACAGGAGCCCCTACCCTTCTTTGATCACAAAGGGAAAATCAGCATGCTGTGTATTTTAAGTTGATAGGTGTTTTTTCCACTGGACAAAACCATGTCAGGCTGACCGCTTACTCTGCTTCAGGAACAAGTTTTAAATTTAGTTCAGTTCTACTGTATTTTCCAAACTCTAAATCGAGGCAATAGTTACCTGTAAGCCACCATCTCACATTCTGGAGTTGGCCAGTTCAAAATGGCAGAATGCTGCAAAATACAGAACAAAGAATACTCAATCTTAAATACAAACATACGAAAATTGAAGAGCATGATAAAGTATATCATCATTTCAGTACCAGCTGTTCAAGGAGAGACGTTCTCTGGCTGCGACTTAATGTCCAGGCCTGTTCTCCTCGAGATATTAAATGTGCAATAATCCCTGCTGCAAAATAGCTGACTTCCACCTCCACGCTGTGCAATAATTTACTGATGTGGTCTATAAAGTCCTTCCACATTAATTCAGAATGGAGTTCTTTAACTTCTGCTATGTTATTCTAGAGGGGAGAGGAAGAGAGAGAAAAAACCAAAACATCAATAGAAATAATAGGATCAAAGGAAAATGAACATTGTGTATGAACTA